GTTCTCTCTGCCGGACTGAGATCGCAAACTTTCGATCTTTTTCTTTCTTGCTTTTTTGCATGTGCAGCGACAGCCAGGGCGCGAACTTGGGCAATCCATCTACCCACTGGTGCCAAAGAGCTTTGCTGGAGTTGTTGAGCTGGGCATCGTGGGCACCTCTGAAGATGCAGTGTAGCAACTGCAGCAGTTCTCCAAATGCCTCTGCGATCGCAGCAGCATGCAGCAGCTAAGCTAAAGTGCAGCTAATGGGCTAACGAATGGCGGCAAAGGGCAAAGGATTTTCTTTGGCAGGTGCAGACAGCTGCAGTCAAGGAGAGTGGGAAGGGAGGGCTTGCAGGGTTTTTGTAGGCTTTGGGGTTTGAGCTGAGGCCGAAGGCGAGGAACAGTTGAATCTGCGCAGCTGCCACAGCACGCCACATTGGCTGTGAAAGGCTGCACGTGCGGCGGGTGCCAGGTAAGGAACGAGAGGCCGAGTGGCTCTTAAGAGCTGGAATCTAGCAAAGCTTTCTGACTGGGCGCTGTGAGAGGCGCTGCCCCGCGGCGGCGGGCGCTGCCGTTGCCGAAGCTAAGCCGCTAAGCGAGCCTCGCCGCTCCCGCCGGAGCTCCCGGAGCTCCCGGAGCTCTCGGAGCCGGAGCCCCCCGGTCTGGCGGAGCCGCCGCGGCTCGCCGGCGATCCTCCCCACCCGGGGGTCGGAGCGCGGTCTTTTTTTTGGGGGGGTGGCTTTTTGAAGGGGGAGACTCTAATCTTGCTGCTAGCTACGAGCTCCCGGCCTGGATAAGCGCCAGCTGACCAGTTTTTGTTTATTGCGCCCTCGCCCTCCTTTCTGTGACTGACTTCTCCACGACGGAACGGAGGGAAGCTTTGCTTCCGTCGCTATCGCCTGCATCGCCGAGGCTCCCGGGAACTGCTGATTTCGCCTCCTCTTGGCATCTTGGCGATAGCGAGGAGAGCTGCCGAGACGGTCTTGGCAGCAGGCACCCGTTTGGCAATGAGGCAGGTGTAGGCATGGCTGGCTGCACTTCTTGCACTTTGTCATGGTATACTTGCCATGACTGCGCTTGCGTGGGGCTGTGCACAAGCCGCGGGCTCCATGCACGCGGCCCATCACGGCCAGCATCGTCGTTTTCGCCCTACGGTGCACTTTTTGCTTCATGTCTCTCAGCAAACCAATTTTTCTCGCTGTTGGCTTGGGGCTGGCTGCTAGCTTCCAGCATGTAGAGCTCCCTCGCAGTCTTGCGTCCAGCAGGGTGCAGGGTTCAGTTCTGTGTCTGCCGACGGCCTGAAGCGAAGTTGTTGGGCACTGTCGATCCGGCGGCCGTATCGACGTTACAGCGCCAACATGCCAAGGCCAAGCGAGACTGCCAAAAGCGGGAGAGAGCTCCGACAACGCAGCTGCCGATCTTGCACCAGTTTGTGAAGATCGTCGCTGTACCAGCTGTGTTTTGCAAGCATTGCGACAGTTGAAAGGACGGACCGTCATGGCTCTGAGCGAACAAATCCGGGGGTGAGGCGTCGCTTTTGGCTCAGGGCTGAGCTTGCGCTTTCTGCCACGTCACGACAGCGATGCCTAGCCGGCCTAGCCGTGCCGGCGTCGTCTGGCCGCCTTTCGCCGCCTAGCCTATCCCGAGGTGAAGCGTCAGATGAGGCAATGATTTGGCGATGCCCTGGGTTCAGCGCCTAGGGGCCTAGAGCCTGCTTTCAGGTTGACAGGCGTTTGCCTCAAGCTGGGGCATTCGGAAATCGAGACGGGCGAGACGGGCTCAACACCCCAGAGGCGGTCAAATGCTCGACATGGCGTATGCCGAGAAGGCCTGGTCGACCTCTGCTTGACCACCCCTGCAGGGCTTAGGTTTTCTCCCCTTGCGGGTAGGCTTTGCTCCTACCTTCCGCTCGCTGCTCCGTTTGCTGCTCCACTGTGCCTTTCTCTCCGGCTCACCCTCCAATCGCTCCTCTGAGTGACTAAGCTGTTATCGGTGGTAGGCTGGAAGCCGTGAGACCCAGGCAGCTTCGCATGGCGAGAAGAGTTAAGCTTGGCTTGCGCTTCTGCGGTGCGTGGAGTGCCGCGAGCTTCCAGTCTGTTCCGGGTTGGCAGGTTGGCAGGCGTCTCAGGTAGGCGGTTTAAGGTGCTGTGGGCTAGCGGGGCGGCCGCGAGCGCTGCCGCCCTCCAGCTCAGAGCCCAAAGGATCTGGAGAAATTCTCGAAATGATCTCGAGGTGATACTTGAAAAGAGCCGAAATGATCTCGTACTGCTCCCAGCCGTTTCCATCGTAACGGATGCAATGCAAAGGAGCCTTGAGCTCCAGGGTCGCTGCAGGTCCTGCTAGCTAAGGGCCCCACCGGCCCGCCAGCGGCCCTGTGTGCCACCCTGCCACCCTGATGCCTTTGCCCCTTCTGCATTGCCTGAAATTGCGGCCTGCATTGTCTTAAGTCCATCCTTGTCCTCCCGTGTGCCGCTTGTCCTCGGCCTTGCGCCTTCGCAGCTGCGCCGGGCCGGCGGTGTCTCTTTGAACGCTAGGGCTTTTCAAGGGCTCCTTTAAAGGGCACTTAAGGCCTCGACACTATGGTTTAGCTTCGCACAGCCCAAACGCCGAAGGCGTCAGTCATGGCCAGTCTGCAAGAGCTGTGATCCCTGCAACCATCAGCTCATGCTTGTGCCGGTTGGAGCTGCGAACGGTGCATGGCGAGATCAGACAATTTAAAGTCATGTGACAAAGCATTGCTGACGCCGCGGCGGTCGGGTAGTCTGAGCTTTGCTGGCCTTTTGTGACTGTCCCGGAGCGTTTATTTCCGAAATGGCTCCTGGCAGCCCCCCTCACGTTCAGGTCTGCCCCTTCTTGGCTCACTTTCGTTGAACTCTCAGACTGATGCCACGTTTTGGAATAAGAAAGCTCCAAGTTGCCTGTGATGAGCCCTGTAACTGTCATCGCAAACCTCAGACTCTCAGACACCTTGCAAGTCATTTCAGATGTGCTTGCGTGCTTGCAGGTGTCGTTGCCTTGAGACGAATGCCAGCAAAAGCTTAGCTTGGGCAGTTTCCCAAAGATTGCGGTGGCGGCAGAAGATCCTTGCCGGCATGTTGAGGTCCTAAGTGTTGTGTAGCCAGGTTCCTGAAAGGCCTCGAGCCTGTAGTAAGGACCTGTGTTGTTGAAGGCCTTCCTAAAGGTGTTGTCTCTCCATCTAACAACTCACGTCTGGGGGCTGACCTTGGCCTTGTTTTAGGCGGTTCCAAGATGCGGAATTCCGCCCTGCGGGCTGTGCGGGCTGCGCGGGCTGCGCGGGCTGTGCGCGCTCGCCCATGGCGAATGACCTCGGCCGATGCGGCGCTCTGCCGCAAAGGAGAGAAAGTGAGACACTGAGAGCCACTCCATAGGAGCCGCCGTCTGAGAGTCGCACACGCGAGTGGGGGCGCAGAAGGCGATGTCACATCGACTCCTAGTCTTAGAGGACTCCTAGTCCTAGGCGTTCGCCTAGGGTTCAGTCTCTCTCTGTCGCCGAGCGCGTCCCGTTTGATGGCCAGCAGGATCTAGAGCTCTGAGAGTCTGAGAGTCTGAGAGCCTGAGCTGCGGCCTGCGGAGCCTGCGGAGCCTTCGGGGCCAGTCGGGGCCTCGAGGCTCGCTGGAGCCTTCAGCAGCCGTGACACCAGTGACACTCGTGACACGGGTGGCAGTGGCCCTTGAAGGAGTGTTTTGCGGCCGGCGCTTTGGCTGACCCCGCGGAGCCTGCGGAGCCTGCGCAGAAGCATGCAGAAGTGGCTGCCGCCGCCTCCGGCGCGCCCGTACTCTGCAACCCGAAGTGGAGCATTCCGGAAGGTTTCCCGGCCTGAGCCTGTCAGTTGGCCTCTCCTTGAAGCTCAGCGGTCGGAGAGCTTTTGTCTGCTGCCGCCCAGGCGGCTGCTGAAGAGGCCACCTTTGCCTCTGAAGGCTCAGTCTCCTGGATCCGCTTCTGCACGCAGGATTCAACGCATGCAACGCAGGCGACGTGGCGACGTGGCAGCGCTTTGAGGTGGAGACTTCCAGAGCTTCCATCTTCTGGCGGCCCGGTACCGTCGCCGCTTTGCGACACCCCCTGAGCCTAAGCAAGTGGGCAAGAACCCAGAGCTTCAAGACAGTGAGCAAGACCGCAAGAGCTGCAAGGGGCCGGGCCAGTGCAATGTGAAGTCAGAGGCAGAGGCTCCATGGCTCCATGGCTCCGCCTTGGTGTCAATCTGGCCAGATCAAGCGCTTCTTCAGGGTCTGGCCCGCAACGGCGCAGCAAGACCGCAAAGGCGCCTAGCCTCGTAAGTTACGTAAGCTCCGAAGTCCACATCTACTAGTGCCTTCTTTCACGGTGCCTCATGGTCTATGGTCTGTGAGACTCTGTTGAGGCGTTTTCCGGCCGATGTGCTACGGCTCGTGAGAAACTAAAGAGCTGGAGAGCAGCTTCCCAGCGCTCAGCCGAAATGCTCTCTTGTCGACGAAGTCCCTTCAATAGCCTTGGAACTCTGGGAGCTCTGGGAGCTCTGGGAGCTCTGGGAGCTCGGGATACAGCGGTCCTTCAGGGTCTGGGCCCGTCCAGGCCAGGCTGACAGGCTGAGAAGATGCTGACGGTGCAGAGGGTGCTCGGCTTCTGTGCACACTGTCACAGCTCAGTGAGACGTGTTCTGTTCTTTGACCCTGGCCCTCTGCCCGCCTCCCTGCACGTGAGCTGGCAGGAGCTCTCCGCGAGGAGCTGAGGATAGCTACGGCTTCCGATCTGGGCAGGCCCTGTTCAGAGAGCTTCTGAAGCGGTTGAAAACAAGTAGCGCGAAATACGCAACACTTTGCAAACCTACTGTGCTTACTGTGATCTTGTGAGCGAGGGTTTCTGATGTGATTGTTCTGTTTACCGCTGCCTTGACAGCTCTAAAGAGCCACAAGACCGGCAACGGGCATTGCAGCAGGCAAGATGAAGTGTCCTTCTGTCGAGTTGCCTGTAGTGAGTGCGATAGTGACATTGACAGATGCTTGCAGGTCCGGCAATCATGTCGCATCGCAAGTTCGAGCGGCCCCGCCACGGCTCCCTTGGCTTTCTGCCTCGGAAGCGAACGAGGCATCTGGGCGCATAGCACATTAGCTCATGTCACTGATTTCTTTTCAGCTGTGGTGTCATGCCCAGTTTGCAGGGACACAGGGAGCCTGCCTTGTTGAGAGGCACCACCACGGCAAGATCAAGAGCTTCCCGAAGGACGACCAGTCCAAGGCCCCACACCTCACAGCCTTCATGAGCTACAAGGCGGGCATGACGCACATCGTGCGGGAAGTTGACCGGCCAGGGTCCAAGTTGCACAAGAAGGAGATCGTGGAGCCCGTTAGTATCGTCGAGAGCCCCCCAATGATTGTGGTTGGCTTCGTGGGTTACGTTGAGACCCCCCGAGGCCTCCGCGCATTGACCTCCGTGTGGGCAGGACACCTGTCCGAGGAGTGCAAGCGTCGCTTCTACAAGACGTGGCACACTTCCAAGCAGAAAGCTTTCACGAAGTACCAGAAGCGCTGGGAAGAGGCTGGTAAGGATGGCACTCCGATGGCTGCCGAGGTTGAGCGGGCAAAGAAGTACTGCCAAGTGATTCGGGCGATCTGCCACACGCAGGTGGGCAAGGTGCGTATTGGGCAGAAGAAGGCGCACATCAAGGAAATCCAGGTGAATGGAGGCACCACGGAGGCAAAGGTGGACTTCGTGATGGGCTTGTTTGAGAAGGAAGTGAAGGTGGCTGACGTCTTCAGCCAGGACGAGATGGTCGATGTGATCGGTGCGACGAAGGGCAAGGGCTTCAACGGCGTGGTGACGCGCTGGGGTGTGACGCGGCTGACGCGGAAGACGCACCGCGGGCTGCGCAAGGTGGCATGTATCGGCAGTTGGCACCCGGCCCGCGTCGCTTTCCAGGTGCCAAGGTCGGGACAGCGGGGCTACCACCATCGCACCGAGATCAACAAGAAAATTTATCGTGTGGGCAAGGCCCTGAAGGACGATGCCAACAACGCCAGCACTGAGAACGATCTGACGGAGAAGCCCATCACCCCAATGGGCGGATTCTCACACTACGGTGAAGTGAGGGAGGACTGGATCATGCTCAAGGGCACAGTCATGGGCCCTCGTAAGCGCTTGGTCACCCTGCGCAAATCCTTGCTGCCGCAGGTCACGCGCAAGGCCCTGGAAAAGGTGACCCTGAAGTTTATCGACACATCTTCCAAGTTCGGACACGGCCGCTTCCAGACCAGTGAGGAGAAGGCCAAGTTCTACGGGGGTGTGCAGAAGAAGGCAAAGACGGAGGGCAAGGCCGACGAGGCATGAAGATGAGCGACTGCTGGACTTGTGTGCTTAAAAAAGGTTGCGAAGTCGACTTAGAGAAGCAATCTGTCTTGGAGCATGGTAGCGGGAAGCAAGCTGGCGATCTGCTGCTGTCTAGGTTTCGGTTCAAGGCACACCTTCTGAGTATCCTCGTCGGTACTCATGTCGCATCGCAAGTTCGAGCGGCCCCGCCACGGCTCCCTTGGCTTTCTGCCTCGGAAGCGAACGAGGCATCTGGGCGCATAGCACATTAGCTCATGTCACTGATTTCTTTTCAGCTGTGGTGTCATGCCCAGTTTGCAGGGACACAGGGAGCCTGCCTTGTTGAGAGGCACCACCACGGCAAGATCAAGAGCTTCCCGAAGGACGACCAGTCCAAGGCCCCACACCTCACAGCCTTCATGAGCTACAAGGCGGGCATGACGCACATCGTGCGGGAAGTTGACCGGCCAGGGTCCAAGTTGCACAAGAAGGAGATCGTGGAGCCCGTTAGTATCGTCGAGAGCCCCCCAATGATTGTGGTTGGCTTCGTGGGTTACGTTGAGACCCCCCGAGGCCTCCGCGCATTGACCTCCGTGTGGGCAGGACACCTGTCCGAGGAGTGCAAGCGTCGCTTCTACAAGACGTGGCACACTTCCAAGCAGAAAGCTTTCACGAAGTACCAGAAGCGCTGGGAAGAGGCTGGTAAGGATGGCACTCCGATGGCTGCCGAGGTTGAGCGGGCAAAGAAGTACTGCCAAGTGATTCGGGCGATCTGCCACACGCAGGTGGGCAAGGTGCGTATTGGGCAGAAGAAGGCGCACATCAAGGAAATCCAGGTGAATGGAGGCACCACGGAGGCAAAGGTGGACTTCGTGATGGGCTTGTTTGAGAAGGAAGTGAAGGTGGCTGACGTCTTCAGCCAGGACGAGATGGTCGATGTGATCGGTGCGACGAAGGGCAAGGGCTTCAACGGCGTGGTGACGCGCTGGGGTGTGACGCGGCTGACGCGGAAGACGCACCGCGGGCTGCGCAAGGTGGCATGTATCGGCAGTTGGCACCCGGCCCGCGTCGCTTTCCAGGTGCCAAGGTCGGGACAGCGGGGCTACCACCATCGCACCGAGATCAACAAGAAAATTTATCGTGTGGGCAAGGCCCTGAAGGACGATGCCAACAATGCCAGCACTGAGAACGATCTGACGGAGAAGCCCATCACCCCAATGGGCGGATTCTCACACTACGGTGAAGTAAGGGAGGACTGGATCATGCTCAAGGGCACAGTCATGGGCCCTCGTAAGCGCTTGGTCACCCTGCGCAAATCCTTGCTGCCGCAGGTCACGCGCAAGGCCCTGGAAAAGGTGACCCTGAAGTTTATCGACACATCTTCTAAGTTCGGACACGGCCGCTTCCAGACCAGTGACGAGAAGGCCAAGTTCTACGGGGGTGTGCAGAAGAAGGCAAAGACGGAGGGCAAGGCCGACGAGGCATGAAGATGTTGACGATTGACGAATGGAAAGCCTCTGTACATGTGCCCTTGACCGTTTGCAAAATGCACGGAGTCCGGCTTGCACACCTGTGTGCAGCATAGGCGCGTGTGAGACCGTGAGTGCAGGGGTTCTTCTTGGTGGGAGCTGCCTCTCGGTGCTTTTGGATTTGGCTCAGCTTGACATCAATTGGCACGCATGTATGAAATTGTGTAGTGCGAGATGTCATGGTACATCGATAGCACCCAGTACACGCAGTTTGAGGTGGAACTGTCCAGAGAGGTACTAGTAAGGCAAAAGCGGCCGTTGCACTCCCCTAGCTGGCGCCCTTGCTAACTCGTTGAGCCGGCGCGTTGAGAGGTCTGGGCCTGGGCCTTTGAGGGGAAAGTTGAGGAAGCAGTATTCAGGTGATGGAGTCCCGGATCAAGTCCAAGCAGCTAGAGGCGAAGCTTTTGAAAGACAAGGCCGGTCTTCTCCGCTTCAGAAACCTCCTTGACTGCGATGCTGCCGTGCGCTTCTTGAGGTGCAGGAGGCTCGCTTGAAAGCCCAGCAGCTCCGGCTCCAGTTGCAGGCACACACTCGCCCAGAGAATATCTGAGATTTTGTGTAACTTCTCAGGCCATCGGTGCTCAAGACACAGTTGTCCCTCGCAAGATCCAGGCAGGGCAGAAGTGCAACTTGGGGGAAGCTGCCTCAGCCTCGGCGCCCTGCGCCCCTGCGCCTCAGGCTGGAGGTGGAAGTGAGGAGCCTTCGGAATTCCGCGAGCTCTTGGAGGCAAAGAGAGGAGAAGAAACGAAAAAGAGAGAGTGAGACAGAGCTGCGCCCTGCGCGCCCTGACGCGCGTTGCAGCTTTGCAGATGCTGGTCGGGGCCGTGGACCTGCAGCGCCAAGTCCTCTTCGAGTGCGGCTCCGAGGCACCAAGGGAAGCCGAGAGACCGGAGACGAGACATGACTGTGTATCATGGGGGCGACACACACACACGTGTCTGCAATCGTGTGCGTGCAATCGTGTGCTTGCGTGCATAGCCAAGGGCAGTCCCATCCCAGCTATCGCCATCAACATGACATGTAATGAGTGATTTACGTTGCAGAGGTTCTCATTCCAAATCAGCAAGGGCCAGGAATCTGTGAGTGTCTGTCCTAGCCAATGACAGACACTACAAAGGTGCAAATGTACCTAATGCTCTATGCTGAGCCCCTGGGCCAGCAGATTAGGAAGAACCAGACTGAGCTGGCAGGATTCAGTATTCGCCCGCACAAGAACATGTTAGCCGTTTACCCCTTGACCTGCATCAGGGCTGATTCTACAGAGCAGCCAGTGCCATGCATGTCGCCAGCCACATCATCGAGAATCGGCCAAGCCTGAGTGTCCGCCGGGGCACGAGATTCAGAAGTTGCCGACGGTGAAATTGCAAAAGCGCTCATGCCACACTCGAGGCCCGGCAACATGGGTCCGATTGCCCAAAGATCGGTGGCGCCCCAAATGGTTGGCAAAGACCACGATCCCGATGTGCCTCTTGTGCTGGCCCTTTTGTGGGCTCCTGGAAACAGAGATTTCTGGTTGGGTGGGCTACAAAAGAATTTAGCCACTGGCTGGAGTCTCACGGCTTCCAAGATCATTCTCGACAAACGGATGCATCTTTCCGCCCATTGCTTACCCTGGGCGGATAAAAGTTGTCCAGGGGTTTCTCTTCGGATCTCAGTATTCTGGAATCGGGGGCTGGGCCGGGCCTTTCTTGCCATGCAGCAAGCCTCGGCAGCGTGAAAGTTCGCAGCCCGCGGCAGTTACAACCTGCTTGGGAAACCTAGAAGGGAGCGCAGTGGGGAATGTAGTGAAGAGTCGGACTACAAGGGCACTCCTGTGTGACGCCCTAATTCTGACATTTGTGACGCCCTAAGTTCCTTGGTCTTGCTGTCGAACCACCACCTGTCGTCTGTGACGCCCTTTTTTCCTCTTTTGGACAGGCTCAAAATGGATTCACTCCTTGAGGTTTTCGATTCATTTACTCCTTAGGGTCTTCGTCTTGGGTAAACGGTTCCTGCTGGATCCACTTCGTCTTCGGCAAAAGGTTCTTGCTCCATTCACTTCTTAGGGAATTTCGTCTTCGGTAAAAAGGTTCCGGTTGGATTCACTCCTTAAGGTCTTCGTCTTCGGCAAAGGGTTCCTGCTGGATTCCGTGTCCTTCGGGTTTTCATAGGTTTCATCTTCGCAAAAACGTCCAGGGTTTCAGGCTTTTTTCGATAGCATAGATTATATAATATAGTATATGAACTATTACGTAGTGTGTATTCCAAACTTTGTATTATGTAGTATGTACTATCTAGTGTATATTATGCATTATATCAGTAGGCTACGTTATAGTGTTTGTCATATATTCGATGTATGTATATCTATGTATACACACATGGTATATTATGTTGCGCATGTTAGAGACAATATGCGTAGCCAGACATACCCACCAGCACGAATACGGAAGCGATCATGTTGTTTTACGACACAAACCAGATGTTGTTATGTCATATTGTGTTACCATGTTTTATTATGTTAGGTTAGTTGAGATTAGATGACGTTACATTAAGCGATGTTATAATGAACCACTGCATCAAAAATACTCAAATAGATTCTATTGGACTATGTTTTTTGAGTAATGTTGTATTGTATTTTTATGCCATATTCATTTTGTTATACTGCCTGATGTGCCTTTTTTGATGACATTATATTTCATTGTGTTATATTCGACGATTTACATACATAAATTCTACTATGCCCAGTCGGACGGCCCCACCAGCATGAACGCGGAAGCGAGCATGTTGTTGTGCCAAAAATACACCCTGCGTAGGGGAGACACGAGTTTCAAGAAAACTTACACAGCGCCTTTGGAAAAACACGATTTCTAAGGACGTTCAAGAAAATTGCACCGCGCGAAGAAATCTTTTCAGTCGGAAAAATGCCCCGCGCCTAGGTAAGAAAATTGATTTCTTACAAACGAGCACCGCGCCTATGAAATGTTGCAGTTTCGGGCAACCTGATTGCAGTCATTTGTGACGCCCTATACTTTTTGGAACATCAAGACAATCGGGTGCACGTGCCAAAACCACGCAAGGGTCGCCATTTTCAGCCGTTCAACCACCTGTCAGTTGTGTTGCCCTAGTCGGCTTTAGGACAGCAGCGTTCGTCCAGGAAGATGTTTCAAAACGGCACGAACTCTAGGGCGTCACAATTGACAGGAGTGCCAACTACGAGCTCGTACAGGTGGTTTGTGGTGGTCTCCCAGTTCTTTTTCGTCTCTGTCGTTGCTACAGCATTGTCAAGAGCTGTGAAAGTGTGTGTGGTGTTGGCAAGCCCGTCTTTGTTCAGCAACCGGCATCCCGGTTTGTTATGAACGAAACACAGCGGCATTCGATGGACATTGAACAACCTTCCCAACACCCGCAGACACATTGTGCTTGTTGGCCTTCGCATGACCCAGCAATCGCTGACTAAGGAGTCGGCAGTGAGAATGACCATGCTTTCGACAACCCAAGGCATGGTGTTGCAGGTTGAGAGATCTGTGGTCCATCATCAGTGGGCGGACAAGAGGGGTATGCTTGGACCACGAATGATCCCCTCTCGATGGTGAAGGTTTGGCGGTGACTGGCACATCGCCAGTTGCCGATGAAACGAGACTGCCACCGGTCTCTGTAGGAGACAATGGCGTCCCTGTATCAGGCACACGATCCCATCGTTGCTTAAAACCGATATGATTCAAACGGAGGAGCGATCCGAACTCCCGACCACACGTCAGAAGACCAGACCCGAACAAGAGCGAAATCGGGATACGTCTCCAGCAGTGTCATCTGTCCAGACGGAAGCGGTTCATGTCTCGCGTACGATCACCTGCGCAGAAAGGACAGCAACGATAATTCTTTGGGCGTGCCGCCGAATCAACAGTGGGTGGCGAAGCATTTTGTACGGTTGAACCCGTTCGCGCCCCAATGGCGAGATCAGCAAGGCAGCAAGGCTTCCTGCGGGCGATGGAAAAGAAGAGGAGGACTACTCACGCTCCGTTTTTGAGTTAACAAGGTTTCCTACTGTCCATTCGTGCTGCTGGGTTTAGCACGGAACCACATGGCTCTGGTTGTGCTGCGTGCCCGCGGGCTGCTCTGGAGTGGATCTCCGGTAGTGCCAGCCCTGGTTTTGAGACAGAATCAAGTCTGCCACTGCCGCCTTTCTACTCTTTTTGAGTTGGGTTCAGGTTGGATTTCCGGCCCCACCAACTCCGTCCGGTCAGCTCCGAAGGACGAAGGTGGTGCTATCGCACTGCCCTTTTCCGGCGGCAGTCCGAAACCGGACTCCGGAGCCGCCAACGGTCAAAAAGTGGGGTCCGAGCTTACACGCTGCTTGCAACTTCTGTCACGTAACTCGTCCCACTCCTCCCTTAAGCCGGTAAGAAACGGAAGCCGGGCTCGAACTTCGTCGAGCAGAAATAGAGGAACGACGACAGCTGGACAACTGGAATTGTGCAAAAGCTTTTGACACTCTTGCTGATATACCCATCGAATCGGCGGATAAATACTTCGCGCGTATACCTGCTGAACAGTGGAAACCCTATCTTTCTGAAACCATTTTGGGGTTGAATCGAGGCCAAACAGAAAGCGATCGAAGAAAATGATCTCACACAGGCCCCAGACTTAACTAAGAACATTCGTTTGCGGTAAAACAAGACAAAGAACGGGTGCTACGAACTTGAAGAAATCACACGGGATGGATACAAGTGGGGTGGCCTAAAGAAAGCCAGAAAGACCTTCCAACCCAAACGTTACAAATTCCAAAACAAGCATGGTGAGCTCATCAACGAAAAGGATTTTCTATCAACGGCAGCGGAATATTTTGCCGAGGTACAATGCGCCCAACCGGAAGAGAATGATCTAAATCCAGAAAAAAGAGGTAACCCACTTTCTAGAAGGTACAAGCAATATGAATGACGAACTTTTTACTCTACCGGAGCTTGACAAGATAGTAGATGCGCAAAAATCAACAAAACTCCAGGACCAGATGGATGCCGAGCAGAGCTAGTGAAATGGTTTCCGAATGAAATCGCAATTAATTACTATCGTAAAGAAACGACATGATTACTTTTGTTTGAAAGGCCAATTTAGTAGCCATCTGCAGGAAAGGAGATGCCACGCAAATGCAAAGTTACAGACCAATTGCATTATTGCATGTGTTCTATAAAACACAAGCAAGTAGGGTAAGAACTCGACTACTACGTGCATACGACCCATGGGTCCAGTCATCACAGTACGGTTTTCGCTCCAAGAAGGTAATAACACAAGCAATTTTCGTAGCAAGAAGATGATTGGATTTAGCCGAAAGACAACATTCAAACCTGTCACTTATTCTGTTAGATTGGGAGAAAGCTTTCGACAACTCGAACCAAACAAAGCCTTTACAGGTTCTACGCAGATTAAATGTACCCCCGAATATGTTTCAGCTGTTCACTGACATGTACCAAGATCCACAGCTCAAAATGGACAGCCACTGTTCAGAATACAAATCGCAGATGCATTAATTTTACGCTGAATCAAGGCCCAAGGCACATCCAGTGTTAAATAGATGGACGGGACACTTGTTCCGCGCGAACATGAAGCCACATTTAGGCTCAATACTAACAGACACGGTGGATGTAATCACCGAGACGTTTATAATCGCATTGCAGATGCGACTGTCACATGCAATTGATTAAAGCTTGTTTGGAACAAGGCTCAAACCACAGTGAAATGGAAGCTACGGCAGCTAAGGGTGTTCGATTCACTTTTGAAAAGCAAATGCTCTATGGGCTTGAATGCATACAACTCACGCAATCTGATGATAAATGCCTTTCAAACGAAAGGAAAGGACGTCGCCGAATCCTAAAGATCCCTCCCACTTAGCTCATTGAAAAGTGTTCCTTAACATGGATGACAAGAAAGTTTAGCCTACTGGGACACATACTGAGAACTGATTCGAAAGACCCTATGAAGCAAATCCTGTTAGATCCATATACAAACAAACCGAAGCTTAAATGTAGACGTCAGGGTAAACCAAGAGCATCATGGCCAGTGGAGACAGTTAAAGATGCATTTGCTTTGCGAGAGCTATGATGATACGAACAATGAGCATCGGCAATACGTAATACAGCAAGCACAGAAGACAGGGAATATTTGCTACAAAACCACAACATAAGTAAATCAAGGCAGTCAGCAACACACCAACATCGGAAAACCTTGGCCAAATTTTAACCATAGATACATCACCGAATTCTCTTCACCGAATGTTCTTCACCGAATGTGCGGAGCAGCACTGCGACCTTCAAGCAAGCTGCCCAGCTGCACTTATCAGTTTCTCGGACATAGGCACACATTACGCGCTTCATGATATTCCCCTCATACGTATCTTTATGTCACAGGCAAACTAGTTGTTTAACGTGTAGACTATATTCCGTATGTTTCACTTTTTCGATGCCAAGATACACGACGTTATGTCTTGATTACATTTCATTGGCGAGGCTCTTGTGCTCAGATTTTTCGTCTGCACGTAGGGAAAAACACGTCGCACGCGATGTCTACCGGCTTGTCCGGTAGCGTGTGCATGTTCGTTAATGCCAGAGGGATCAAAAGTGAGTCAGCAAGATTCATTCGTGTCAGGGGGAGGTGCAGGTGGGCGGTCGCAGAGTGATGTTGCATCGCATGGCCGGACACTCGACTTTCCATCAAGTGCCCCATGTGACGAAGAATCGACTCAGGTCACGTGGCAGATGGGTGACTCGCCATTGAAGCTGTCGGTCCCGATGGAGCTGCAGGTGTGGCCGAAGTGTAATTTGACTAGCTGTTTCGACGATGGTTTTGCTTGAGGCGGAGATCGCGGGCCTCTTGACCGATGCCCGAAAGCGAGGTTTAGAATTGATGTGGTTATGCAAAGTAGCAGCGTAGCTTCTCGTGCAGGACGGATGGAAGAAGCAGTGCTGCAGCGCTTGGCCAGCACTTGGGAGCTCATGGGTGCCGAGGCCTGGCCAAAGAGAGAGAGAGAGAGACAGAAAGAGAGTCTGAGTCTGTCTGAGTCTGTGGGTTTTTCAGTCTGTGTTTCTTGGTTTTTCAGATGTGAACGTTCGAGGTCGTCTCGGCGAGCGGAAGCGGAGCTTGCCCATCAGCGCCCCTTCCCGAGCCGGCAATTTTCCTCGTCCATCGGTCTACCTCCCAGGCGGGTCGACGGACTTCGCAAGAAAGTGGAAGCATCGCCCAACAGCTTTCGAGGCAGTCGTCGTGGCGAAGTGGCCCGCTGTCGACTTTACGCGTGGGTCCGGTTTCCAAGAGAGCGGCTGTCGGAGCTGTTTCGAGTCGCTTCGAGGCAGTCAGAGGCCCCGAAAATCTTTGACCCGAAGAGCCACTTCTCCAGACGTTTAAACGAAAGCGCAACGTGAGGGGCTCAGGCTTCGGCAGGAAGAGTCTCGGCGCAATTCATCGGACTTCCACGTGCAGGACAAACATCTCCACGGGGGACCGTGTAGAGGTGGAGTACGAGGCGCGAGGAATGGTGTCCTACATTGGAGTTTTAATGAGTGACGCTTGGGGGGCTTCATGTTTCTTGGGAGAGAATGTGGTGACGGTGTTGATGCGGTTATCACATGGCAGGGGCATTGGTTCACGGGCACCCTGCAGTCTGTCTGAGCCCGGGCACTTTGCTTCCTCAAGAGTTCCGGAGCATGCAGAGTGCAAGTGGAGGTGGAAGGAGACATCGTCAACGTGGTTTGCGATGTCGGGCGCATTGTCAGGTTTCCAGTTAATTCGCTCGGAAAGCTGAAGTTTTTGGCAGGTGGATTCGCCAGGCGTGATTACTGTAGCCCCTGTGACGGCTGCCGCGTGCCGAGCGCCAGGGCGACCTGCGGCGCGAGTCGCCGCCTTCTCGACTGAGGTTCGACCCGCACGACCTTCGAAGCGCCTCCTAGAGGCGTAAACGCGTTCCTCGTCGTGGCTCTCCTTGGCGAGAGAGTCTCCTCTTCAGGATGCCGACAAGAAGCTCCGGCACATGCGGGCAAGGCGTGCAGATGCGTGCAGATGTTTGGCTTGGCTTCTCAAAGATGTGCTGGGAGGTCTATCGGCTAGGCGCTAGGCTGAGAGGCGAGTCTGGTAGTCTGTAGGTTAGGATAGGAAGGCGACGGGCCAAGTGTGCATCGCCTGGCATTTTCCTGCGTGCAAGTCCGGCAAGGCATTGCAAGCCTGGTACTCGCACTTAAACTCCATGCAAGCTCGGGATGGCAAACGTGGCACTGCGGCTTCGCATGGCCCTGCACGCTCTTTCTTCGATGGGTCTTGATCACATGCTCAAGCCAAGAAGAAACAGTTCGAATTGGGAGCAGCAAACTTGCATGTTCCTCACATGAATCCGGGTCTCGTTGAGGCTTTGCATGACTGGAATGTACATGTCCCTGTCTTTGCAGAGAAACCCTTTTCTTCAGGGCTCTGCGAGAGGCGAAAGATGGCGCTCTGTACAAAGAAGGGGCAGCGGGCCGGGCGGCGCATTTCAGGCTTTGCTTTTGAAGCGGCCCTGCAATGGGCCCCCCTGCGCCTCTCCGCGGCCTCCGTGGACGAAAATGTTTCGCCCGCATAAGCGAAACCTCTGCCCTACTGCTGCGACCTGCCTGTCCTTCGCAGCCTTCGCAGCCCGCAGCCGCTCGTGCTTAAGAGGGACATGGGCCACTTTACCGTGTGTCCGGCTGTCACGACACCCCAGCTCGTCCCAAGGAAAGACTGGTCTAAACTTGTGACTGGACGGATCACGCTTAACGATTCGCAGTTTTTTGAAAACCCGACGACCAAAGCGTCAGTGCACCGTCCACAACAATGGTTCCTCGGCGGGATGAAATGTTCCTGAGAGGCGAAGTGTCTGACGTTGTGATCTGGGACGTAGAGACAAGCAAGAGTACTGGTTTCCCTCCAGGTGTGTCCAAGCAGAGGCACGTCCGTGTTTCAGGTCGAGTATCGCCGCTTGCTGTCGATCAGTGCGGGTTGCAGGGACCCTCGCTGAGATATGCCGGCACCGCCGAAGCGCCCGGAGGTGGCGGTTCTTTCAGTCTTGGCGTCGAAGCTGCGTCGTAGTTTTGTCAGGAGGATGAAAGCTCGCTTCCATCTCCGAAGCAGCCTGTCCCCAACCGGGTTCCTGCAGGCACACCGGCGCACACCGGCGCACCGCGGCGCACCGCGACGGCGCGCCCCCTGCGTTGAAAGCTTTCGCAGGACCCGGAAAGCTGTCGAGGAACAAGGCCGCTGGGCCGCTGAGGGGCCGCTGCTGGGAGAAAAGACGTACTCTGCTTCACTCCGCTGCCTGAGGGAAGGCTGATGCCATCGCTGCCCGAGGAGAGAAGGGGAAGACTGTTTGGGACTGGGCGCGCACCCCTCGCAGCGCAGGATCAGGAGCTTCACCCGCCGAGTCCTATGCAGTCAGGTACGACGGGCGTGTGGTGGGAGCGGGAGCGCCGTTTGGGCTGCCTGGAGGCGAGTGCTTCCGTCTCCGGCATGTCCGGGTGGAGGCCTTGCTGCAGGCGAGGGAGGGCTGAGGGGAGGAGGGGAGTGGCGCGTTCACGTCCAAATATGTCTCGTCCCGGCTCAGGACGGCACGTTGGGGCTTCTGTTGCACGGCACCTCTGTGGTTGGCTTCTGCAGCGAGGAGGCGGCCTCGCACGGCTGGTCCAGTCCCAAGCTCCGCCAAGCTCCGGAATGTACGTCGTGAACTACATCCCTTTTAGCTTCTCTAAGCTTGGTTTTGGAGCTTCTCGAGCAAAGCCTGTCGCAGTTTTTTGTGAGGTTTGTCGGCGATCAGATCGTGGAAATCAACGGGAAGCGTGTGGCTGCCTTCGACGAGTTTTTGGAGCAATTCCTGGCCGCGCAGGTGCAGGCAGCGACGGAGAAGCTGTCGTGTTCTCCCTCTGTGCTTTATACATCTGAGGGCTTTCCGATTGTCTTCAGCGTGCTCCGGCGAGAAGCTCCAGAAGAAACACCCGACGAGGATCGGATGTCAAGAAACTCGAGGTCACGTTCCAAGGGCTGGCTGGTTTTGGTTGAAATGGTACGGCACCCGAGGCCCAGCAGTAGCTTGGCCAGGCCAGGCCCAGCAATGTAGTTGTTCAGGGACGTTGCTACAGGTCGCAATCTGACTCGTAAAACCTGCAAGAAGATGTTGGGTGGCAACGAAAGCCAAACCGCAAGCATTTTTTTCTTCTGATGCTTTGGGATGTCCCGTGCAGGTTCATGCGGCCATAGACAGGAGAGCTGCAGCCATAAATGCAACTACACCCGGAAAAAGAAGAGCGCAGGCTGTCCACAACCTCTCTGAAATCTGATGAACCGTCGCGGTAGCCAAGGACGCGGAACGACCCGAAGGAGCCGAAAACAGCACGGCAACAAGGAGGCAAAACCAGTCGAAGGCCCGGGTGGTGCGGGCTCCAAAAAAAAGCGCGAACGTGCTAAGACCGAGTTCAACATGCAGGAGCATGAAGCTGGCACGAGCATCTTATTCAAAAAGCCTGGAAATGGACAACTCGAGAGCCAGCCAAGCTCGTCATGAGAAGTGATTCGTCGGTTGCCCGAGCAATTGCGGTAAGGCTTGGCGTGTGGAGGGTGAGGCATGTTCAGACAAGTTGTTTACGGATTCAGCGACGGACTACCGCGAAACTATCCCCTAGTGTCCCCAGTTCCAATTCAAATCCATCAAAGTGATATGGGAAGACAAGATTGCGTATGCTCTGTTTACTGGCCGGAATGTAATTACTACTTCACCAACACCGAGTCATTTTGACGAAGCGGGTTTTGGGTTGCTCCAGGACGGTAGATGTGGTTCAGAAGCTGCAGGAAGGTTCAGCAGAGGTGAGAACAGGGCCGCATGTAAGCAGTGTTATGTTGATCACTGCGTGCCAACTGGAAATACAAGGTTCCCATAGCTTCTGTAAAGACGTTCACGGTCATCCGAAGGATGATCAGCCCGTCTGTGCTCAATCTGACCGACCTCCATCTTGCAGTAATTTTGCGTGTGATTGCAGTGCAGAGTGCGCTGCAGCACGCAGGGCACATGACATAATGCTTCATCGCTCGTCCTTTCTGAAAACAAGGCGTGCTTTTCGTGTTTTGCAAAAGCAGCGAAATTGTCCCAAATGACAAGACAGAGGCCACGGACATCGATTCCGCAAAATCAGTGTGTAAAGAGACCCGGCAATGGAACACAGGTGAATCAAAACACAATTCACCCCAGAGGAAGACAGGATTGACATAAGAGCAATAAGCACTAGCCACCACGAGACAACAAGAAAGTTTCAGTCGCACCAGTGCGATGTGTGTTGTTAAGTATATTTAGTGTGCATGGTTGTGCAAGCGGTTCTGTCAGCGACACAGTTTTTTGTCGCCGCGTTGGCTGAGCAAGCAATTCAGCCTCTTGACTGGGAGCTGAAATGACAGTTGCCGGATCAGTTTTTCAGCCTTGTCGTCGCCCTGACCATGGCATCGCGTCGCATCTCATCACACCGGCGTTACTTTTATGAATATCGTCGTCCATATTGTTCTTCACCTCAGCCAGGAAGACAAACAGGAAGAGAGAGAAAGCGACAGAGAGAGATATGTGGTCATGGACGCGAATGGTTGAAGTAAAAGACAGAGCTAAGATGAGGCCAGCGCCTGCTTCCAGCTTCAAACCAGGATCCTCTCGAAAGCTTTTTCAGCGAAATCGACTTTGTCGACCTGGCCGGACGGCGGGGCCCTGGAGAGCTGGCCTTAGCCAGGCCAAACGACACAAAGATCTGAGCTGAGGCTCAAGAAGAAGTTCGGCGGGGGATCGCCCGGCAAGGAGAGAGCGCCGCACAAACACGCCATCCCGAAGAAAGAGAGGGGAGAGGGTTCCCTGGGCGAGGCCGAGCTGGCGAGCACGGGCAGCTCAGGCCCCGATTCTCGGAGCGGAGAGCGGGGAGCGGTCTTCATTTTCAGGAACTTCAACGTATGCACAACAGAACAGAGGACTCCTCACGAAGGGCTCTTCCTCTAGCTGGAGTTCCTTCAGCGTCTGCGCTCAGGCGATGCCATCCTGGAAAATCCCTACATCCAGGCGCAACGAGCCCTACGAGCACCACGTGACGACGTGAGCCACTGTGCGAGCGAGAGGCCCTTCGCCGTCGGCGCACCGAGCTGAGCAAGAGCCCGGAGGGATGGAGCGCGGGGTCAAAAGTTAAATGCAGATCAGATGTGTGCAAAAAACAGCTCCATTGCAGGAGTGAAGAAAGTCAATCGCTCGCTGCCAAGATGGCCACGGAGCGTGGTGATGCTTTGGCCACCCTGAATCTCAGCTGCCCACTTCAGTGTTGTACACACGTGCCGAAAGGGCTCGGTAGTTACAGTGCTCGCATGGTCGACAGGAATGATATGGCCCTCGCAACACTTTGCGCACCTTCTACTTCCGCTTGCTGGCACATGCCGTTGAAAGCATGTGTGTTGACAGCATTTCCCCTGCTTTTAGTTCTGTGCCGGGAATATCGTTGTCGGTATTGACGGTGTTTCCCTTGCTTCATCCGTTCGCCACGGCATCCATGCCCAGACCATGATGACGTCCGTGTGACCAGAGCATTCATACCCAAACCGTGATGCTGTCCACGTGACCAATGCAGCATGGCCAAACTGACGTCCGTGTGACTGCATCCCTTTCCTAGAGCGTCCTGACCGGAAGAGGATGTTTCGTTCAACAACCCAAGCAGCACGAGCATTGTGATGTCCATTGTCAGCCAAGCATGGAAATGTTTGCTGCTGGCCTGTGGGCATCATCGGACGTGGCAAAACACCGCAGTTACCGATGCATGTGGCGAGATTGGACAAGTGACAATGTAGCAAACCTTCGACAAAACGACCCATGGTTTTGTCAACCAGCGACTCCTGTGGTTTGCGCACTTTTCATTGCGTCCGAGTGCTGAGCTTGAGGGCAGCGGTTGGCGCTTTGTACTTGGGCCTCCGAGGAGTCGTGCTTCGACCGACACGCCGCGGAGGTCAGGGAGTCTAAGCCTTGCAAGTAGGAAAAGTGAGGGTCGGATTCAGCGGCAACGAAAAGATGCAACTTAAACTTCCGCCTTAGTTTTCGCTTTATTTCAGAATCTCGAAGATTGCGCAGCCGATGTATGTATGTATGCATGCCTGCAGGTCTTGTGAAAATAACACGTCCCCACTTTCTCCCAGACCTACGACTTTGCCAACCGTCGTTGGCTCAAGACCACTTTGCCCTACAGGAAAAGGCGCTGCTGAACTTCAGGGCTACTTTGGTCTCAGTCGTGTGAGCTTGTGCACGGAATTACTTTAGGGTAGTTTGGTGCGCATTCTGGACTAGTGTACTTTCGCATGGTAGCGGAGCTGAAAGCTCCACGGAACTTTGGTAGAACGACATGGCACTAGGAGGTGAAGACAACTTTACAGGAAAGCTTCGGGTTCCTCTGCCAGAGACTTTCTCTGGGAACCCAGCAGACTGGGAAGAATGGTCATGGAACTTTAAAGCGTACATTTCGATGTTCGAGGTAGGTGCTGTGACTTTGATGGACAATGCCGAAATGCGAACGGCAGCGCAAGGTGACTTTACAGATGCTGATCTAACAGTCACTTTGGACACAGGTGATGCAGATCCGGAACAGACCGCCAACCGAGTACTTTTCTCCCGAAAACTACATTACCTGATTTCTCAACTTGTGAAAGATTCGGCGAAACTTGTTGTTCGTCAGAACGAGGACAGCAACGGCTTTGAGACATGGAGAATCTCGCTGCCAGGAGCTACGCGAAGCACGTCACTTTTGACGCAGCTGTTGGACTTTAAGTTCAACCCAGCCACCTTTGAACAGGACTTTAATGTTTGGGAAACAATCAAGAGTAGGTACGAACGACAAGCAGGACAACCTTTGCCTGATGGCGTTCTTGTTGCAACTTTGCTGAACAAGACTTCTGGAGCTTTACAACAACACCTTAGGTTGAATGCCCAAACTTTGGCGACTTATGCTCAGGTTCGAGAAGTTATCCTTGAGTACCATAGATCACGACTTTTGATGAACCCAGTTGCACAAACTTCGGCGAATGCAACTTTTGCTGGTGGAGCGTCGGCTCCCATGGACATTGGTGCCTTAGCGGCAGCTTTGTGGAAAGGAAAAGGAAAGAAAGGAAAAGGAAAGAAAGGAAAAGGAAAAGGAAAAGGAAAAGGAAAAGGAAAGGACTTTTCGAAGTCGTTTGGAAAAGGAGGACAACATTGGAACTTTATGATGAAAGGAAAAGGAAGAGGAAAAGGAAAAGGAAAGCCCACTTCTGGTTCTACTTCGGTTTGCTGGACGTGTGGTAAAACAGGTCACTTTTCGAGCAACTGTCCTTTGAACCGTGTTTCAGCTGTTGAAGGTGAAGAACTTTACCCGTCGGAGGACGCAGGAGATTGGAATCACTTTGGTGAGTCCGATGATTGGACAGATTGGACCGAATGGGCCGTGAACGCGGTCACGGAACTTTACAACGACCCTAACAGTTGGGATCAGACTTGGGATGATCAACTTTGGTCTTGGGATGCTTGGTCCTGGGATGTTGACCCTTGGGGTTGGTCTTCGGACTTTACTTCAGAAGTTTGGCCTTCAGAGGCTGCTCCTTCGGCGAAGGCCGAAACTTTGGCGAAGCCCAAGGAAGAGGCTTCCTCGTCAAGCGGCGCGGCAACTTTTGTCGGCTGTGACTTTGCAAGGACCACCTGGACTTTCAACCCCCAAAGCCAAGCCTAAGGCTAAGGCGAGCATCAGTCCGAGCACTTTGCTCATGTCGGCTGTTGTTATCGGCAACTTTGGTTTGGGGAACACTTTCAGAGTTGATGGGATGACGAACGGAGTTGTAGACTTCAGCTTTGGTGGTTTCGGAGAGTGTGAGAACTTTGAGCCTACGGCCTTTATGGCACCGCTTGAGACTTTCTCCTTGAATGGTCGCACGGAAGAGAACCAACGACTTTTCAGTGTTGGGGATCTTGGTCTTCAGAATTTGAATACGACTTTCAAGGATGTTGCTTTGGAGGAGCATTTGATTGCTTCGACTTTGGAGGACACCGAGCCGTGGATCCTTTTTGATTCAGGTGCTGCAACTCACTGTTGCCCGAAGGACTTTGCCTCAGAGTGGCCACTTCTGCCACTTACAGGTAAGGCTCCACCTTTGAGGAGCATTTCTGGTCAGCCTTTGACGGTCTTTGGAAGGAGACTTGTGAAGGTTGACTTTGAGGGCCAGCCCTGTTTCTTACACTTCTACGTTCCCTACTGTGTGGTGTCCGTTGGCAGACTTTTGAGGTCAGGCTTTGACGTGAACCTTTCTTCTAAGAAGGCGAACACTTTGGAAACACCGGATGGACACAAGGTGCCCATCACTAGGCATGGTTCACTTCTTTTCTTGAGGCCCACTTTGGCACCTTTCAACCGGGAAGAGTTTGAGGTTGTGTGTAACACTTTTCACACACAGAGCGCCCAAGGTACCATAGTGGCCCCAGTTTTTAAGCCTGTCGTCCAGTATCACATTGATAAATGGGAGCTCTCGGGTAATACTTTGACCCGCATACACAAAAGAGCGAGAGCTACTTTCTTTTCTCCCGAAGGGACGAAAGATCGCCCTGTAGAACTGAAGGACCTTTCAGACGAACGCGTAACCTACTTTGAGTACCTATTTTTTTCCTACTTTTTCCCTATTTTATTCCTATCCTGCTTTTTCATTCCTATTTTATTCGTATTCAGGATTCCTATTTTTTCCCTACTTTAATTATTTCCTGCTTTTCTCATGGCTGGCTGACGATTCTCTTTACTCAGTACGCAGATGGCAGAAAAGAGACTTTCACCGACAACTGGCGTAAGGTAGCTAACCCAAAGGGCCCAGCTTCTGAACGTTTTGTTGGCAAGACTGTTTTTAAACTTTCCTCCAAGCCCACTGGCCGCAAGCTGGTTGGAAAACAGACAACTTTACCTGAACCCACACCTGCACGCAAACCACAACCGCTTGAACAGCAGCAGGAACCTTTAGCAGAGGCCCCACAACCACTTTTCAAGCAACCCACTAAAGGCCTCAAGGAGCAAAGCACCGAGGACACTTTCCGTCTGCGCCTTGAGCAGACCTCTTCAGGAACGCTGGAAGACTTTCGAAAGGCTTTGCTTGAACAACTTTTGGAGAAGGACCCGGCAACAGGCCAGCCGTACACGCACGACTTGTGGCTTGACTTTCCGTCTTGCTGGGTGCGTGTCCACTACGAACAGCGGACCACACTTTTTGTGCCTGAGGATCCGCACTTTGAAGAGCAGCTTGGCGACGGTCGCATGACTTTGGTTGTGAGGCCAGACACGGAGGCAGTGCCCTTTTGGCACGCTGACCATTGGCGCAAGCGCGGCGCCACTTTGATCAGCTCTCCTTTTGTCGGAGCCACTTGCTTTGAGAAGGCAGACTTGCAACTTGTTGAGTGCGAGCCGGAAGCTGCGGACTACGTTGCGCATCGCCCTCGCGGACTTAAACAGCCGGGCGAGCCAACTTTGACGGAGCGGCTTTGACACGAGTTGACACACTTGCCTTTTAAGCCTTGGTGTGAAGTTTGCGTGCGTGCCAAGAGCAAGCAGGCAAAGAGTCGCAGACTTTCCCTGAAGCAGCCTGTGCTGCAGATGGACTTTAGTTTTCTTGGCGACAAGCCTGGTGAGGAACAGATCACGATTTTGAACGTTGTCGATGTTCTTTCGGGCATGGCACTTTCTGTTGTGATTCCCACCAAGGCCCGCACACCTTACTCGCAGGCTGAACTTCGTCGCTTTGTGCTTGAAACGGGCAGAACTTTCGGTGTGTTGCAAGCGGACCCCGAACCCGACCTCCTCGCTATTGCAACTTCTGTCACTGGTGAGGTTGGTGGACTTTCCTTTCGGAAGACGCCCGTCGGTTGGAAACAAGCGCAAGGCAGCGTCGGTAACATGCAGGCCACTTTGTACGGCCAGATCAAAGCTTTGCGCCTTGACATCCTTGAGCGCTTTGACGTGGACCTTTCGGTGCACTCGGCTTTGTTTACTTGGCTTGTGCGTCACGCGCAGTGGCTTGTGAACCGTTACCTTTGCAACGCGGAAGGAACGACGGCTTTTGAGCGGCGCTGGCGTAAGAAGTATGCCGGCTTTATCTGTCGCTTTGGAGAGACAGTACTTTTCCGCAAGCCGCATCCGCAGAAGGGTCGTGCAGCTTTTGTGCCTGGTGTTTGGCTTGGCAAGGACACTGAGTCTGATCAGCACTTTGTTGCTGACGCCACCGGAGTCTTTAAGACCCGCAGTGTCAAGCGCCACCCGCCCTCCCGGCAAGCCGACCTTGCACTTTTGCAGTCGATCTCTGCGCGTCCTTGGGACCCCACCGGTTCGAAGGCTGAGACGGACACTTTTGTCTTTCCTCAAGCCAAGCGGTCCGAGGAGGCGACAGCAGCAGACCTTTCGAACTTTGAGCAGCACGAGTCGACTGAGCCACTTGCACCAGAAGCTTTGCAAGAAGTTGAAGGCTTG